CTCTCTCCACCTGTGACTGTGTGCCTCTCTCCACCTGTGACTGTGTGTGGCTCTGTCAGGTGGCAGGTGAGCCCTGCGTCTCCGCCTCCTCCTGTCCTCTCCTTAGATGCAGTTCGCCTCTGCTCCTGCTGCTTCCCTGGTCCCGTGTCCTGTGTCCTTTTATTTTTTTTGAGACAGAGTCTTGCTCTGTCACCCAGGCTGGAGTGCAGGGGCGCGATCTTGGCTCACTGCAACCTCCACCTCCTGGGTTCAAGCAATTCTCCTGTCTCAGCCTTCTGAGTAGCTGAGACTACAGGCGTGTGCCACCATGCCCAGCTAATTTTTGTATTTTTAGTAGAGGCGGCATTTCACTATGTTGGCCAGGCTGGTCTCAATCTCTTGACTTTGTGATCTGCCTGCCTCAGCCTCCCAAAATGCTGGGATTACAGGCGTGAGCCACCGCGCCCAGCCCCCTGTGGCCTTACCTTCACCTCTTTCCAAAATCCCCACTCCCATTCTCAAAGGCTCAGCTCAGAGATCCCCGCTCCTGAAACCTTTCATGCTCCTTCTCACTGCCACCTGCAACCCCCTAATGTGTTCTTGCTGCAAGTCCATAATATTAGTTATGGGCCCAGCTAGTGAAGACAGGCAGGTGCTGTCTTATTCAGCTGTGAATGCCCAGGGCCTGACACTAAGCAAGAGATGCATACTTATTTGTAGGCTTTTCAATTCAATTTATTTTACTCTAATTCAATTCAGGGCAATTCAACTCCATTCACATCAGCACAAGGACAGAGGGCCCCGGAGCCCACAATGGGCACCAGCACACAGACAGTGGCCTCAGGCAGCCCGGCTGGAAGGAGCCCGTTGGTCTTGCAGGCGTAACTCATGTTGCAGGCATAATTCGTGTGCACATGCGGCACTGCTCGGCCTGGGCACCAAACTCTCCCTGTGCCTCAGGTCCCTCCAGATGTCCCCCCCCCCGCCACCCCTCCTGAGGACGCTCATCTTTGAAAATGTCCTGAGACGGAACTGGAAGCTCTAAGGTATGCGCTGAACCATCACATGGCAGGGGCTGGCAGGCTTCACACAGAGTCCCCTGTTTCCTGGCCTCAGTCACCATCAGTGTAGTGGGCGGGGGCAGCTGACCCAAGGGGCCTACTGCATGGGTCGCATGATTCAGCCAGTCCTCACTGGCGGGACCTGCATCCCCATCCTACTGGCTGGCAGAGTAGGACTGGTTTCCTGGGAAATCCCCACCCAGAAACAGCACACGACAGCTGTTACTCATCAGCCACAAAGGCCTAGTGACACAGCCATGCCCAGTGGTGACTTCCCAGAGCCATCTGGTGGAGGACCCAGTTGAGTGGGCTGCTGCTGTCCTGTTTCCCAAATTGCAAAACGGTGCAGAAAAGATGGCTGGGTCTCCAGCAATGGCTGTTCCGGGGGAGGTCCTGGAGCAGCCACGGTGGAAGTGCAGGCCTTGCACCTGGAGACCACGAGGCGCCCAAGTGCAGAGCGGTCAGATGCCGTCAGTGCGTCTCCCTCCTCCTGCGCCTGAAAGAGCAAAGGGAGACAGTGACCTCCTGAGAGGCTTCTGGACACCCCGCCAGGCACTTCCCTACTGGTGCCTGAAGCATGTGGCTGGAGAGAGGCAGCAGGGCGGAGGGCCCAGGACTCTCTGCTGCTCTGTCCCGGCCAAATAGTTCCCACGATCAAAGACCCAGAGACTCTCCCCTCACACCCACGCATCCTCCCATGAAGAAACATGGAACAATCTAGGATGGGGTTAAAAGTTTCTAAAACTGGTACATTCTGTGATTCCCCAGAGGAAGGATAAATACCGTGCTTTTTTCTTGGGATTTGATCAGACTTTCATGCTTTCAGTGAGAATCTGGTATAAAAAGAACCCCCAACATTTAGCCATGCTTCACGAGTAAAGCAGTTGAAAACCACAAACAAAAACCCATCTGGAGAGATTGGGAGGTTTCTGCTTTGCAACTGAATCAGCTCCCAGATCTCGCTCATTCTTTCATTCACTCAACACACCTTTATTTATTTTTTAAAGACGGGGTTTCACCATGTTGGTCAGGCTGGTCTTGAACTCCCGACCTCAGGTGATCCACCCACCTTGGCCTCCAAAGTGCTTGGATTACAGGTGTGAGCCACCACGCCCGGCCTCAACACACCTTTATCAAGCACCTACTATGTGCCAGGCCCATCGGAGCTGGGACACCATTGTGAGCAAGATGTGGTCCCATGAGCCTGGCAGTGGAGCAGGGGAAGAGACACGTGCCACGATGGCTTGGTTAGTGTAGCTGAAGCTCTGTACCCAGAACTCAGGTGAGGGACCAGACACCTCCCCTAACTGTGGGTGCCTGGAGGGCTCTACGCAAGCTTTCTTAGGAGAGGGGTCATGAATAGGAGGTTGCAAAAAATAAGACCCCCGTTCCCAAGTCATCAGTATCCACATCATCAATAACAGGCCAAGCTAGCAGCAACCATGTAGCCCTCGAGATGCTGAGCTGGGAAGGCCAGAGCGCTGCTCAGGGCTATTCCTGCCAGAAAGGCAGAACCTGAATCTAATCTGGAAGAAGCATCACACAAACTCTAACGGGGGTACTCTCTGCAGAACAGCTAGCCTGCACTCTTCACAAATGCCAGGGATGCTGACAGAGAGGCTGTTCCAGAACAAAGGAGGCCAATACATGACAACTAAACGCATTACAGGATCCCAAGCCAGGAAAAAATAGCTGTCAGGAGGATTAGAGACAATGAGTGAAACATGAACACGGCCTGAGGTTTAGAAAACATGACGTAAATGTTAAACGTCCTGATTTTGATAACTGCAGTTTGGTTATGTAAGAAAATGTTTGTTGGAGGTTAAATACCGGTGTATTTGGGGAAAAGGTTACATGGTATGTCTGCAACTTACTCCCAAAGAGCTCAGAAAAAAATACGCATGGTAGGTGTGTGCATTTGTATGTGGTGAAATGCTAAGCACCGTCTGAGTGAAGGGTATAGGGCATTTCTTTGTACTATTTTGTAACTTTTGTGTAAGTTTGAAAGGGGCAGGGTGTCTGGGAGAAAGGGCGGCCTGTGCAGGCGGGAGCTGGCACCAGTGTGGTGTGCACAGGGAATGAGCTGCTGGGCTGGAGTACAAACTCACAGGAGGACCAGTGACAGAGGGGCCAAAGGGTAGGCAGAGGCAAACGGTGGAGGCCTTTGTCCTGATGGCTGTGGGGAACCTTTAGGTTTTCAGCAGGAGAGAGCGACAGGGTCAGAATGCCATTTGATAATGACCACACAAGCAGCTCGGGTGGTGGGCTGGAAGGGGACCAGACTGGCAGCTGGGAGAGTGGGGCAGGGGTCTCGCAGCACTGCAGGCAAAGGCTGGCACCACACCCACATGGGGCAGCACACGGGAACCAAGCTTGCTACATTCCTGAGGCCCAGAGCAGGGCAGGCTGCACAAGATATGAGATGTTAGGAGGCAGGAGGATGGAGGGGGTCTGCAAAAAGGAAGTTTCTTCTGGAAGTGTTGGCACCGAGACAGGAAATACTGCAGAAAAAGTGGTTTAGGGAAGGAACTAAACCTCTCTCCGCTTGCTGGAGATAGGGCATTCCTGGGGCCAGCCTACCCACGTCCATATCCTGGCTGCCTTTCTCACTAGCTGAGTGGCCTCACAATTCTATACCTAGTTTGCTCAGCTCTAAAATGGTGATAATAGAACCTATCTCAAATAGTGAACATGAGCAGGGAGGAATTGTTGAAGTCCTGTTTTTGGAGGGAGAGCTAATGACAATCATTTTCATCTTTTATCTCAAGTCATCACTTGGACCCTTTAATTTACAAAATTCAGTAAAATCTGTAATGTTTCAAGGAGTCAAACATTTATTAGTCAATCATCCTAATAAAGGCAGCGTTTCCTTGAAAACAAAACTGCTGTATGGAAATATATACATATTTGTTTTTGAGACAGTCTCACTCTGTCACCCAGGCTAGAGTGCAGTGGTGCAATCTTGGCTCTCTGCAGCCTCTGCCTCCCGGGTTCAAGTAATTCTTCTGTCTCAGCCTTCTGAGTAGCTGGGATTACAGGCACGTGCCACCACGCCCAGCTAATTTTTTTTTTTTTTTGGAGACAAGAGTCTCCCTCTGTTGCCCAGGCTGGAGTGCAATGGCACAAACTTGGTTCACCGCAGCCTTCGCCTCCCAGGTTCAAGCGATTCTTCTGCCTCAGCCTCCCAAGTAGCTGGGATTACAGGCATGTGCCACCATGCCCGGCTAATTTTTTGTATTTTTAGTAGAAAAGGGGTTTCCCCATGTTGACCAGGATGGTCTTGATCTCGACCTCATGATCCACCCGCCTCAGCCTCCCAAAGTGCTGGGATTACAGGTGCGTGCCACCACACCTGGCTAATTTTTGCATTTTTAGTAGAGATGGGGTTTCACCATGTCTTGAACTCCTGACCTTATGATCCACCCACCTCGCCTCCCAAAGTGCTGGGGTTACTTACAGGTATGAGCCACTGCGCCCAGCCCAGGAATGTATTTTTTAAAAGACCCATGTAGGCTGCAGGATGTTTTAGCTTGGCCTGGATAACATAATTTTTGACAAAGGAAGATGTGATAGCTCTCGTCAAACATATAAAGGGCTGTTATAAGGGAGAGAGGGCAGATTTTTTTTTTTCCCCCTAAGATCTGCAGAGCAGAACCAGGTTATCAACAGGGAAGCGGGTTTGGGTTCAAGAAGGAACTAATATTTGAGCTGTCCAAAGACAGGCCACCTGGCCAGGTAGAGGTGTGCACACAGGCAGTTATAGAAGAGGGTCTGCACTGGGTAAGGAGCTGGACTAGATGACGCTTAATATCCTTTCCAACTTGAGGATTAAGTAGAATATGACAGGCCTCTACCAGAAGTTCGCAGGGAGGAGTGAGTTGCTGATGGTGGTTTTCAGGTGGCTGACAAACATGACTTATGTAATAAGGAAATATGTATTTTTAGTGGTGAAAATTCGAAGCCTACCCTGTGCCAGGCCTTGGGATCAGCTTTTCCTTAACATATGAAACCTTTAAAAAGTCACAACATTTGACATACAGCAAGGGCTTTATCTTCCCAGGATAACTAGTAACTGCAGTACTATTATCCCATTTTACAGATGAAAAGACAGGCTGAGACAAGTGGCTTGCCCAAGGTTATCTAGCCATTGAGCGGGTAAGTTCTGATTCAAACAGCTGCCCATTCCAACAGCCATTCTTTTTAATACATAAAAAACTAACTTTTATAATTTTTTTTGTGGAGATGGGGTCTCACTCTGTTGCCTAGGCTGGTCTCAAAACCCCCTGCCTCAAGATCCTCCTGCCTCGGCCTCCCAAAGTGCTGGGATTACAGGCTAGGATTACTGCTGGAGCCATCGTGCCTCACTTCCAACAGCTATTAACCATCATACTATACTACTGACTGTCCAGCCACTGAAAATATTTGATTTATTCATCCAAAGTCATCCTGTGTGTATATGTGTACGGACAGGACAGAGGTCAGCTTTGTCTGTCCTGAGGGACTGTGCTCTCGGGAGGCGAGCTGCATCTAGACATCACATGTTGAGTGTGGTCAGGCAGCTCTACAGGTGACCTGCGGGCTGGCTCATAGCATTCATCTTCTACCAACACAAACCATTCAAATTAAAATCCAAGATTATTTCACTCATGTCTTAGCAAAAGCAGCATTTTTCATTTTAATTCTGGGGTGAGGGTGGAGCACAGGCTGTTGGGCCCGTTGGAGTAGGTGGTTTGCTTTAGGAGAGAATGATTGGTTCCTAATAATCTTGTCTTCTTCCCAGGCTTCTCCAACTCGTTCAGGCAGTACCAAGGGGCAGACCCGGGAATGGGTTGTTCAGTCACTGCTGTACCATCCATGAGCAGCAGAGGGCAGCAAAACACACTCATCTGACGGACATCAAGGGAGCCTGGGGATAACCAGGTATGCTTTAAAATGTTTTCACGTCATTTGGGGAATTCTTGCAAAGGGGAAACACTCGGATTTAAAATTATGAAACCAAAAAACACAGACACAAGTAACTAATTATTCCCTTATGAGAAACTTAGAATGGGCGTGGTGGTTCACACCTGTAATCCCAGCACTTTAGGAGACTTAGGTGGGAGGATCACTTGAGGCACAGCATGGCGAGACTGTCTCTACTAAAAATACAAACTATTAGCTGGGCGTGGGGGCATGTGCCTGTAATCAGAGCTACTTGGGAGGCTGAGGCACAAGAAATGCTTGAACTTGGGAGGTGAGCTGAGATCATGCCACTGCACTCCACTCCAGCCTGGGCAACAGAGACTGACTCAGTAACACAGAAGTATACTTTTATAAATTCTTTTTTAAAAAATACATACATAAAATTTAAAATACAGATGGGAGGGGGTCTCACTATGTTAACCAGGCTGGTCTCAAAATCTTGGGCTCAAGTGATCCTTCCACCTTGGCCTCCCAAAGTACTGGGATCACAGGCATGAGCCACTGTGCCCAGCCAACTTTTACAAATTTTTTCTTTATCTGGAGATGGAGTCTCACTCTGTCACCCAGGTTGGAGTGCAATGGCACACTCAGCTCACTGCAACCTCTGCCTCCTAAGTTCAAGCAATTCTCCTGCCTCAGCCTCCCGAGCAGCTGGGACTACAGGCATGCACCACCACACCTGGCTAATTTTTGCATTTTTAGTAGAGACGGGGTTTCACCATGTTGGCCAGGCTGGTCTTGAACTCCTGACCTCAGGTGTTCTGCCTGCCTTGGCCTCCCAAAGTGCCGGGATTACAGACATGACTGTGCCCAGCCTACTTTTATAAATGCGTAGACACAGCTGGTGTCCTAACATGAGGCTCTACTCACAGGGGGCTTGAGCAGTTTTCCTTTGGCAGCTTTTGTGTGCCTGTGATAGGTTACAGTTGTTTCCACTGGGAATCTGGTTAACTCGGTGACTCACTATGCATTAAGGGAGAAAACTGTGAAGTTTACAACTCACTAAATTTAGAAACCAACTTTTTTTTTTTTTTTTTTTTGAGACGGAGTTTCGCTCTTGTTACCCAGGCTGGAGTGCAACGGCGTGATCTCGGCTCACCGCAACCTCCGCCTCCTGGGTTCAGGCAATTCTCCTGCCTCAGCCTCCTGAGTAGCTGGGATTACAGGCACGCACCACCATGCCCAGCTAATTTTTTGTATTTTTAGTAGAGGCGGGGTTTCACCATGTTGACCAGGACGGTCTCGATCTCTTGACCTCATGATCCACCCGCCTCGGCCTCCCAAAGTGCTGGGATTACAGGCTTGAGCCACCGCGCCCAGCAGAAACCAACTTTTTATTTTGAAGCTACAGCTGTGACCTATTGTTTCACTTCCCTTTATGGAACACACCTAATGAAATTTCACAGAAACCATCTATAGCAATGCCTATACACTTGCTTGCCAGTTTCCACAGGCTTTTGTTTTAGTAAATGCTTCCTGGTTTAGCTGCAATGTACACCAAGATGCCATTTCAACTTCTCAAGGTGCAGCAGTGTGATCCATAACCCTGTAGGTCCCCACCAGAGAGCCATGCATCTGTGAACCCAGAGCATGGCAGTTCAACCTCTATCCTCTCCCGGCTGTTCAGTGAATGGTGCCCTGAAGAAAGAATCTCCATAAATGAGGGAGGTGACACCATCCCATGAAGGCTCGGGACACACACAAACCTGTGTCCAGTTCTGTCACCTAACAGTTGAGGGATTTTTGTCAAGTTATTTAACTTGTGTTCAATTTCTGTATTTGCAAAATAGAGATACCTACTTCACAGTGTGATAATTAAGTAATTCACATGAAACACCTACCATATGTGCCAGATCCCATTTTAAGACTTGGTGAAAATTCTTGTTGTCATAAGCTTACATTCACAAGGGGTAAAGGGCAACGGAAGAACAAGGTAACTTCCTTGTGTGTGTATGTGTGTGTGAGAGAGTTTTGTTCTGTCACCCAGGCTGAAGTACAGTGGCACGATCTAGGCTCACTGCTACCTCCACCTCCTGGATTCAAGTGATTCTCCTGCCTGAGCTTCCTGAGTAGCTGGGATTACAAGCACGTACCACCATACTCAGGTAATTTTTGTGTTATCAGTAGAAGTGGTTTCACCATGTTGGCCAGGCTGGTCTCGAACTACTGACCTCAAGTGACCCACCCACCTCAGCCTCCAAAAATGCTGGGATTACCGGTGTCAGCCACTGTGCCAGCCCAAGGTAACTTCTCATAGTGTTGAAGATAATGAGAACAGAACAGGGTGTGTAGGGTCTTCCTTGAGGGGAGCTGTGAGGAATGCTAAGAGCAGGGAAGATGCGGGCTGAGACCTCGGCAGAGGGAATTACTGCCAAGGCCCTGCTCCTGGACAAGCCTGGCTGGGTAGAGGATGGGAGGTGGCTGGCCAGGGCGAAGCAGGGAGGGAGAGATCCTGGAGAGCCTGCAGGCAGTGGCGGAGCACCCATGCTCACCTAAATGCCAGTGGAAGCCAGAGGAAAATTTCTGGCAGGGCAGAGTCAGGATCTGACGGGGCAGCTTGGACTCTTGTGGGCATCAGGCCTGAGAGGCAAAGGGGTGGGGCAGAAGTGGCCGCACTGAGCACCAGCCTGGCTCCAACTTGGCAGCAGAGAGGAGCTCATGGTTTTACAAATAGCAAAGAGAAAGGCCGGGTCCCTGAAAAGGAGAAATACTTTCAAGGGCTTTCTATTAAGAATCTATCTTGGCTGGGCGTGGTGGATCACGCCTGTAAGCCCAGCACTTTGGGAGGCTGAGGCAGGAGACTCACTTGAACCTGGGAGGTGGAGGTTACAGTGAACCAAGATTGTGCCACTGCACTCCAGCCTGGGTGACAAAGTGAGACTTGGTGTCAAAAAAAAAAAAAAAAAAAGAATCTATCTTTCTTTTGCTTGACTATGTAGTGACAGTGCATCCAAGTTTTAAAAATGGGCTTCGTTTCTTTTGGGGCCACAGATGAACTGCCCACACTACTGTGATTAGTGTACTCAGTGTAGGAGGCTCAGATAAATTTCATATTTGCATTTATTGCTTCCATAGGCACATTATAAATATTCTGAAAAAGAAAAAAAAAATCCACCATCCTAACCAAAAACTGCTTTAGCATTTTGATATATTTCTTTTTAGACTTTGGATTAATCCAAAGTTTAATACTGAATGTTTCAAGCACTGCAGAGAAGACATAATACTGCCCTAATATATATTTTTTCTAACTTCCCAAGCTTGATATACTCTAATATTTTTTAGTCTTCAAAGCATTTTTTCCTTTCAGCAGAAAAAGCTAAAAAATTACCTGGTAATAAAGACTGATCGTCCAGAGTTTACACAGCCTCTGATGAAAAGTTACTTTTTCTATGAAGAACACATGTAGTTCTACTGCTTAGAATAACATCTTGAAAAGAAAGAAATCTTAGGTGCTACTGATTTATTGGGTGGGTTTACAGATGAGAAAATTAAATCAAAGATCCATCTCGGCTTCCTAAGAAATGTTTGTTTAATAAGCAGCTGGTTGCAGTGGCTCATGCCTGTAATCCCAGCACTTTGGGAGACCAAGGCAGGCAGATCATGAGGTCAAGAGATCTAGACCATCCTGGCCAATGGTGAAACCCTGTCTCTACTAAAAAAAAAAAAAAAAAAAGAAAAATTAGCTAGGCATGGTGGTGTGCAACTGTAGTCCCGGCTACTTGGGAGGCTGAGACAGAATTGCCTGAACCTGGGAGGCGGAGGTTGCAGTGAGCCAAGATTGCACCACTGCACTCCAGCCTGGGCAAGATTGAGACTGTCTAAAAAAAAAAAAAAAAAAAAAAAAAATGTTTAATAAGTAGAGTATGCAGTCTGTGCAATTACTGGGAATCCAAGCTCAGTATGTGAGTAGGGGTGGATGTGTGGTAGACCTTTCTTACTCATGCCTGTGTGTGGGGGAGTGCCTTTATGATCATCAACTGAAAAGCCAACTAGCTGACAGCCCACCTGTAAAACTCATCTTCAATCACCTTTATTCTAAAACGTCACTTTGTTATTTGAAATGCCTAAAAATGTATGAACTTTTAAATAATTTCCAGGAGGAAATTCTGACCAAAACTGTGATATATATGCTTCTCTTTTACATTCCTCATGTGTCTTGAGACCAAGCAGGAATACACACTGTCACTTCAGGAAACACTTCATGTTGCACAAATTCTTTTTTTTTTTTTTTTTTTGAGGCGGAGTTTCACTCATGTTACCCAGGCTGGAGTGCAATGGCGCGATCTCGGCTCACCGCAACCTCCGCCTCCTGGGTTCAGGCAATTCTCCTGCCTCAGCCTCCTGAGTAGCTGGGATTACAGGCACGTGCCACCATGCCCAGCTAACTTTTTGTAGTTTTAGTAGAGACGGGGTTTCACCGTGTTGACCAGGATGGTCTCGATCTCTTGACCTCGTGATCCACCCGCCTCGGCCTCCCAAAGTGCTGGGATTACAGGCTTGAGCCACCGCGCCTGGCCGCACAAATACTTTCAAGATGAGCTTTAATTTAAGGGACATGTAAATAAAAAGATGCATTTGACAGGACAGCAGACTAGTTCAAGCAGAAGGTTAGACCAATAAGAACCACCAAGAGGATGGATCCAAGATGGCCGATGAGGAGCACCTCAGGATTGCAGCTCCCAGTGAAAGCGCAGAGGGTGAGTGGACGCTGCATTTCCAGACAAATTTTTACTGCCCACAGACCAGGAGATTCCCAGGCGTAGGAGACCCACGGTCGCCAGCGTGGCGGTTCTCCATACAAAATACACGGGTCTGGGTGCCATTTTAGCTGGCGACTGGAGCTCCTGGGAGATAGAGTCACCCAATCAACAGATTAAAAAGGGGACTGAAACAGGGAGCCAGGCCAAGAGATTCCTAGGCAAAAAAGTGCCACGAATCTCAGCACGGCTGTTTCAGCTGGCACAGTAGGTTGCTACATGGGAAATCACACAGATCCTGGCACCTTTTCAACAGGCAACTGGAACACCTGGGAGACAGAGTCGACTGTTCAACAACAAAAAAAAAAAAAAAAAGGCACTGAGGCAGGGAGCCAGGTGATCAGGCTCAGCTGTTCCCACCCCCACAAAAAAACAGCAATCGGAACGCTCTGGAATGAGAGTT